GGAGCCTCCGGCACTAGGTCTGCCCTGCCCTTTTATAGACTTCTTGCTCAAAACTTGTGCCAGTGAATACATGCATATCACTGTGCCCTTTTGTCCTCAACTGCAGCCAGATAGTCTTTTTTTTTTCTCTTGAACATGCTGGAGAGCTGTGTATCATTGCATCAATAGAAGAAGAGAGTTACAACACGCACACACACACACCCCCACTGTCATGATAAAGCTATAATTGCCGCTTTGAAGAGAGAGAAGAACGACCCGACCCAATGAACTTAAAAACCCGAGCTAGGAGCAGTAAGGAAAGAGAGCCCCTTAGCTCATGCCGTTCACCAAAGCTGAGATTCCTCCCCAGCAAGACAAAGGGCTGTAACTAGGCTTGGAGAAACGCCATTGACCACACAGTCGTTTATGTGTTTCCACAGCAATCAGCTAGATAGAGTCTCAGCCTGACTTCTTTGAGTTATCTAACATGATCAGTTGAGCTTACTCACTAATTTAGCTATGCAGGAACTGCTAAATAAGTTCTTCAAAACAAAAATGTTGACTCTAATATTTCTGTTTGTCCAATATACCAAATTCCATATCTAAAATAAATTTTGAAATATAAGGATTGCTATATTGATTATTGAACATTAGTATACCTTGCTAGCTACAATTGTTCTGTACATCCTTTACAAGAGATCTACAGACCACAACCTAGTTTATTTGCATGTAAGCTCATAGATGACGAGAGGTCTAGTGCTAACTTCCATTTAATTGTTTTCTCTTTATGAATTCTTACCAATTGATTTATAAATTTGCAGTTATCCGAAAGGTAATCTTTTGCAACCTTTCAACATTCATTTTTTGTGCTGGACATTGCAGCAGAGAAATGAGCCATCACTACTAGTTTCTTCTTAAACTGCCTGGGTTCACATTATTATCATTTTAGCATCTAGAGAACTTATTGCTCACTAGTTTGATGCTGGCCTTATATTGCCCGATCTTTAGATTGTAAGTGCCGTTTTTATGTACTTTCGTCCAGTGTTTTACACCTGGAGACATTAATTTGGAAGGGTGTCTAATTGGCGCTGTTTATTACGTCCTGATGTAAATGAAATCAGGCATATCTTTCATCTTCTAGAAATGTCTTTGAATGAATCAGTCTGGTTTCTGTAGCTAAGGTTATGGTTTTTGAGGCATCCTGTGGTGCTGGGGGTACGCCTGGATGCCAAGGCGATGTGGCGTGACAAAACTTTGTGGCGCCTGGGCTGGGGTACACCTCAACACTTAGGCAGCGCCTCAAAAACCATAGAAGAGGATATAAGACTATTAGTTTTTTTTTTCAATATCTTCTTCATTCCTGCTCAGAACAAATCCTCCAGTTGGTTCATCCAGTCACATTTGACATTTCTTGTTAAAGCATGTAACTTACTCTTTCAAATTTCATTGTTAAATCCGGTTAGCGTTCTACCTTGAACTATTACAATGGTGACTACTGGCTACAATTTGTTTAACCATTCAGTTTATTTTGTGATGATGCACTTCAGGAAGTCTTGAGGATTAAAGTAGAACATCCTGATGATCCCCAAGCTGTCTTTAATGATAGAGTAAAGGGACAGCTGAAGGTTACTAGAGCATTTGGTGCTGGTTTTCTAAAGAAGGTAAGTTCATATGACCTTACATGCCTATGACTGATAATTTGTCCTATCTTAGTATGTCAAACAATTATGTGACTATGTCAGTAGTCTTTCATTTTTTTATCATGCTGAGGTGCGATGTGCCTCTCATGCCAGAACCACATCCTTCAATTGTTTCTGTGCTGTTTGTGTTAAATAATGGAAACTTGGTATGTATTTGTCTGGGGTTTGATCAAGGCTAGTGTACACAGCAGACTAACAGAGGGCTCCATGCTGGTTCATATGACATTAGAGCACGCACACCTACGGTGCCTAGATTTCAAGGTGGCGGTTAGAATGTAGCCATCCCTTATTGCCTTGATAACCACGCAAATGGCAGAAGAGGCTAGGTCTGGTGGTCAAATAACTAAAGATGAACAGATTTTATGGACAATTGTGGCAGTAGTTTTTTCTTAATTTGTTTAACTAAACTTCAAATAAAAATTCCATTGGTATAGGATGATCTCAGTACTTTCAAGAGGCAAAAGATGTTTATTTTGTTGCAACATAATCTTCTGTTCAATTGGTTGAGTTGTCTTTTTTGCCTGTTGCAGCCAAAATTTAACGAGGCACTACTTGAGATGTTCCGCATCAACTATGTTGGAACATCACCATATATCAGCTGCAACCCTGCTGTACTTCACCATCGTCTCTGCGCAAATGATCGGTTTCTTGTATTGTCGTCAGATGGATTGTATCAATATTTCAGCAATGACGAGGTAGTTTCGCATGTGTTGTGGTTCATGGAAAATGTACCAGAGGGAGACCCAGCGCAATACCTTGTAGCTGAACTTCTTTGTCGTGCAGCCAAGAAGAATGGTCAGTTCTGCCTCTGCCTTAATTATTGATGGCAATAAGACTATGAAAGTACTTTTGAAATCTTAATTGTTGATGGCAATAGAAAATAAATTTGTATTTATAGCTAAGTCATTTTTTTAATGATACATGCAGGAATGAATTTTCACGAGTTACTGGATATCCCCCAGGGTGATCGCCGGAAATACCATGATGATGTTTCTGTTATGGTAATCTCACTTGAAGGAAGAATCTGGCGATCTTCTGGATGATTGTTGAAACATGACCTGGTCTGTTCCTTGCAGCCTTGCTTAGTGTAGTAAATCTGAACTAGGAAAGGCACCAATGTCTTGCTATCTTTATTTTTCAACCATGTTCAAATTCTGGCAATCCATGTGCCTTTTCTGTCTTCTACATTTTGGATTTGCGCTGCATTCTTGGGCAGTCCGAGTCCGAATTGACATATACAGGTTTTTCTCTTTTGTTATTAGGAAAAAAAAAAAGGTTCTTTTGAGGGCAGATATGTCATATGTTTTCCCGGTGTTGTGGGGTAATTATTTTCTGTTTGCAATATTTTTCTCTTTGCCAAAAAGGACCGTTCTTTTCTAAGTTGGGTCACAGGTGACGGGTGTCCAGGTTGTTGCGAATCGATGCTGAGCAAATATGCATTATACAGTTGCTTATGTAATAGTATAAATTGTTTTCGGGCATAGGGATTGGAAGTTGCATCAAAGAGCAGCTTGTGCCGGTCACTTATGCAGTGCCTGTCGTCAATTCGATCTGTAGCAGGCTTGTCCGTGCTCAGTAGCGTTTGATCGTTTTTTTACGCTGGGTGAAAATGGACCCAGGCACAGTAAGTAGCTGACTGACTTCCACGAAGTTTGTCGGTGCACCACTCATGAAATTCAGCTGATCAGACCATGATCTCCTTGCCTTTTGTTTAGATTCCTATTCTCGTTGAGGACCTGTTGGTTACAACCAGGAAGTTCAACAGGAACAAAAGATTCCAGAGGAATGTGGTGGACTGGTGGTTATCGGCCCATGGTGAATCAACCTCAACTATGAGATAATGACAGTATTGTGATTCTGAACTTGGAATATATGCTATGACCGAACTTTGACCCAGCATTTTTCTCTGGAGCCTTTCACTGCTGGATTCCCCATTGGGATATGCTAGAGAGATGCTGGCTTGCTTGCATTCGGGGTTGAAAATTCTGGTATGTGGTAGCATTGTTGTGTGGTTGGGGTTTGGCACGTTTGATCTAGGGGCAGCGTAAGTGCATAGAGTGTGAAATGATTTGGTCAATTCTGAAATAACTGCATGGAGTGGAAGAGTCTGTTGAGGACTTTTGAGACGTTGAGCTTTAGGAAAGGGGGAGACCAGAAAAAACAACTCAAATATGGCTTGGTTCACATGATCACATCCTTCTGCCACATACACATTGTTCAGCATAGGATGTGATACTGCTAGAGCTAGTGCCAGTTAACTACAAACAATCTATGCATATTCTTTCATTCACTGGATAAATACCCTTGCTCACGAATTTTTTGTTGACACCAACGGCGATGGATTTGCATAAAATAATAAAAATCGTATCGGACGCGGATATGTGGATCCGTTCTTCGTATCGTATCGAACGTGGATACGTGGATCCGTTCTTCGTATCGGAACTGGACAGGACATGGATGCGGAAGCTCCGAGTAAATGATGATTCGGACACACACGTGAGGATGTCGAGACCTAGTATCGTCGGGTGACGATGCATTTTTTTTCTGTTTCCATATTCTATTTACGCATTTCACGGTATGGAGGAAACCAAGATGGACCCGATCGAGTGTCGGACAGCCGCGCCCGCGAAGATGCGTTGGATGAAAGCCTTTCCTATTTTTTAGTTGTAAAATAAGTACCAGATTGTTTAAATTAACCAGGTCGCATTAGACGTTAAATAGATCAACAAGTTGAACTCATGCCAAATCTACATATGTCTCTCTGTCTATATACTTATTTATAATATATGCATTTATACATATATTATTAGGAGTATGTTAAAAGAAAGAAAAAGGAGAAGAAAGACAAACAAAAAAAAAACTCAAGCACGCAAGCCGTATATGCATGGCACTGCGGGCTCCAAGCGAGCTTCCGTATCTGCACGGCACTACGGGCTCCGAGCGATCTTCCGGATCCTAGACGTAGCCGTGTGTGTGTCTATATATATATATATATATATATGACCAAAACTATCACCAGCGAACCATGGTCACCGGCGCGTGGCTTTGGCTTGGTCGTCCGTGGTCCCCTTCTAATCAATGCTTGCATGGAGTCATGCTTCAATCCCTTACTCCGTCCATTCATCCACCGCATGGGTCCCTTCTAATCACGTTCTTCTTTTTTTTCCGGATCAATCACATTGCTTCATTTTCGGCCTGCAACAGACATTCCGTCCGCCGTCCTTCGGCCTGCAGTGCGCTGCTCTTCGCTGCATATGCCGATTCATCCACCAGTGTCGCAGCTGGCGCCGGTCTGGCTCCTATTCTGGATCTGCCGCCGATTCATGCTCTGGCGACTCCGCCATTCATGAGGTGAGCTCCCGGCACCTCCGACGAGCATCCCCGCGGCGAGTGGCGAGCAGCTGCGTTTGGGGCTGCGGTGTCGTCCCTTGCTTGCCCCTGCACGACGGAACCTGGAGCATGGAGCACCCATGGGGACACCGGCACTTTGAGCAGATCGTCACCGGCAGCGGTACGTGTTGGGTCTGGGTTCTGGGGAAAAAGGAGCGCCTCGCCATGTTTCCGGCTGTGGCACCTTCTGGTTTTTCGTTGGTTGTCGTCCCAGAACTCCAGAAGCAGTCCCAGCAATGAGCGCTCATGGATTTGGCATCTGCAGCTGGTCTCTTCCGCTCGTGGATCTGCTGCTCGGTTCATGAAGGCCACGGCCTACATGCTACGTGTGGCCAACGACGAGCTGCACCAGAACGACGGTGTACTATCGCAAGCTTTGATATAAAATTGTTGTAACTATCCATTCTAATTACTGTTCCATACTATTTTAATTATCATGATTAATTTATGGTAAATTTGTTTATTTGTTATGGTAACTGCTCCCTGTATCATCATCATATCGAAACATGGTAACTCCCGATGCTAAGTATGGTAACAATATATTCAGATTACGGTAAATTAATTTAATTGCTAATAAAGCTTTCTTTTTCCTGTATTCGATGTTATAGTAACTAGTTATCAGAAACCATCTGACGTCAATTTGTGCTAAATTGTCGTGCTAATTATCGTAACAAGATCATTTGCGTGAGCCTGGAACATTGGCGCACTAATTATAGTAACTAGAAAATTCATCGTAACAAGATCATTTGCGTGGGACTGGAACGTTTGCGTGCTAATTATAGTAACTAGAATATATTTTTCTACTATTTTTTGTGGACAAGGTATATTCTAGTATTATCGTAACACGAACATTTGTGTGCGCCTAGTAGACAAATTAAAGCTCATAATCTATTCTCGTAAACTTGCATGCATGGTACATTTTCTACGCCATTACAGTAACAGGCTCGTCTGAATATCATGACGTCAAATCATGCTGACTTGCATTGCGGTAATTGGTAACTTGACCATTCAATTATAGTAAATAAATATATACATTCCTGTACTTGCTGTCGCCTATAGCCATGGACCTGTAATTATCGAAGCGGTTTGGTACCATTTTGTGATGTTGAGATATATGATTCGCCCAGGACAAGCTGGTGCTATACAGTATGTACCATTTGAAATATCGTAACTGTCTTATGGTAAAATGGTCTTAATACTATAGTAACTACTTATCATGAACCATTTGACTCTCATGTAATTCTCGTGTCAAGAAACTCGAATTCTCGTAATTATTTCATGGTAAACCATTGTCTCAGTTACAATATCGTAACTTCATTCATTCTCGTAACTGGCCAACTAGTTACATGGAACAACCAGAACCTAAACAAAGTAACTCATCATGTAATTGTCATATGAAGCCAACTCGAATTCTCGTAATTATTTCGGTTCTCGTAATTCACATTCAAGGTTCATTCTCGTAAATTACACTAAATTCTCATAAATCATAGTTGTCAAATTCACAAGGATAGCAAGGCATAGATTCTAGTAAATCACAATCAATGGTATATATTTTCTAGTAAATCATTTACTTTTTTTTGAACATAGTAAATCATTTACTGAATACGATAGGTTTGTATTTGCTTTTAGTATTCTTGTAATACTTGCATGCATGGCACCAGCTGTACTAGTACACCAGCTTTGTGTATTCTCGTAACACGTCTGTACACGCTTTGAATGCATGGCAATGGCACCGTGTGAAGGCGTGAAAATAATTATTCCAAATATCCAGCGTCATTAATTACTGCAATTACTTGCCGTGTTGATCCGGCATGCATGCAGCTGCAATTAATTCATAGCTGCAGTTTTTATTATCCAATCATGGTGAACTTATTGGATCGTGTATAACGTATTCATAGCTGCAGTTTTTATTATCCAATCATGGTGAACTTATTGGATCATATATAACGTAGTTATAGATTTATAATCATAATCTATAACTAAGTTATACATGATCCAATGAGTATGAAATTTTTACTATAGCTCAAACAAACAATAATTATCCCACCACACAAAAGCAGAGATGTAAAGCTATAGCAAAAAATTATATTAAATATTTACTGTACAGATCTACTTACTTAGAGCTAACAAAATTAGATTTTCTATTTTATATTTTTTCTATGTTTTTTCAAAGATTTAGCCAAAATAAATAAAAAAAATAAAAAGACAAAACCATCTACAAAACCGCTTATCACCAGTTTTAGATTTCTAACTTTCACATAAGTTAAGATTAGATGGGCTGACTTTATTTGTTTAGATGGGCTGACACATATATTTATATCGAATTGTTGGGCCTCACAGAGAGAAGAACCCACACGGTATTCTTTAGTAAAAGGCGAAAGAATAGTTCGCTCTGTGCCCACTGCGCAGCTGCGTGCTTCTCTCGTGGAGCTCCTGGCCCTCTTAAATACCAGCGCTCCCTGCTGCCACTGGCTTCAGCAAGCGGTTTGGGACTAACGGCGCAAGCGCCGGCCGTGCCGCGCGCGCTGTCTACGCTAACGGGCCAGTGGCCGAACTGCAAATCAAGGCCTGCGCCGTGGATTTCCATTTCTTGCAGGCCAGAGTCAGACGCAGTGATGATGCCCACTGGCCCAGAGGACTGCGTGGCCTAGGAAGCCGCTTGCTGTCCGGCCCAAACAAATGCTGTGAACTGAGGCGCAGGGGCGCCGGCGCTGCCGCCTGCCGGTCTCGCCCGCCTGCCCAATTTCAATGGAAAAAAAAATCTATATTACCTTCTTAACTTTTGCAAAAGTCCGCTTTTCTTCCTTAAACTGTAAAACCAGACAAACACACCTCCCTCAACTTTTAAAATCGTTCATCTTACCTCCCTAGCCCTGTTATAAGCGGTTTTGAATGTGGTTTTGTCTTTTTCTTTTTTATTTATTTTGGCTGAATCTTTAAAAAATCACAGTAAATCATAGAAAAATCATAAAATAGAAAATCTAACTTTGTTGGACCTCCACATGAGTAGATATACACAGTGAACATATAATATGGTATGCTTTAATACAAAGTTTTTACTGTCGCTTTATATCTATGCATTTATGTCATTAAATAGAATAATTCATAGCTGTAGTTTGTATGGTCCAATTATGGTAAAATTTTTATGGTGGGCTAATTATTGTATGATTAAATTATAGTAAAAATTTCATACTCATTGGATCATATATAACTTAGTTATAGATTTTATTTAGGTTTATACTTGTTAAATATAAATAAATCTATAACTACAGTTCAATTATACAATAATTAGCCATAAAAATTTCATCACAATTGGACCATAGAACTGTAGCTATGAATTATTCTAATTAATTACATAAAAGCATAGATCTAAAGCCACAGCAAAAACTTTGTATTAAAACATACCATATTATATATTTACTGTGTAGATCTACTCAGGTGGAGTCCAACAAAATTGGATTTCCATTTTATGATTGTTCTGTGATTTACTATGATTTTTCAAATATTCAGCCGAAATAAATAAAAAAAGAAAAAGACAAAATAGCCTTCAAAACTGCTTATAACAAGGACAGGGAGGTAAGATGAACAGTTTTAAAATTTGAGGGTGGTGTTTTGTCCGGTTTTAAAGTTTATGGAGGAAAAACAGATTTTTGCGAAAGTCGAAGGAGGTAATGTAGACTTTTTCCATTTCAATTCGTGGATCGTTCATTGGATTGGTCCTCGTTTCCACGCTTTCCCTCAACCTCAAGCTCCGGCGCTCCGCTGATTCCAAACAGGAGCGCTGATTCCAAACAGGTCAAGGCTTCCATAAACAACCCCTTTTTTTATCTCATCGTGAACAACTTTTTTCAGACAGACAGACACCATGTCCGGTGCAAGGAAACGAAATTTGTTTGCTCAAAAGAGTATATGCTCGTGTCCCAGTTTCTAAAAATGCCTCGTCAACTTTACATATTTGACTAAAGAACGAAGTAGACTCTGTCAATACACAATTTTATTTTACTATTTTATATGCTATACTCGAATATGATGTTTTGATCAAATGTGATATGTGAACCATACAGCCATTCGAGTGAGGAGAAGAGGACCGGCCTAGTGAATATACGCTCCCTCCATTCTCTTTTATATGACGCACACATATATCAAGAAATAAATTTTTACTATGAATACACACACCTCTTCCGTTCTAAATTATAAGATGTTTTCGGAGTTTTTTTGAACATTGCTTCTACTATATGTATCTAGTATCTAGATGCATAGGAAAAACTATGTATCTAAAAAAATCCTTGCTCGGAGGCCTCCCCCCCCTCGTAACGCTGCACCGCCATAGCCCTGCACCTTGCCCTTTCCATCCTTAATGAAAAGCCTCTCCCATCTAAATCCTCCAGCGCAGCACCAGCTCCACATCACCCTTTCCATCCTTAATGAAAAGCCTCTCCCATCTAAATCCTCCAGCGCAGCACCAGCTCCACATCGCCACTCCTCAGTCCTCCCTGCAGTGGCGGCGAGCTTCTCATGATGACATGACATATATATACCGCTACTTTTGAGAAAGAGTATTGGAGAAGGACGAGGAAACGCTTGGTGACTAAATTTGGACGAGAACGACGGAGGGCAGGAAACGATGGATGAAGCTAGAGGGCATTTTAGGTATAAATAAAAGTAGGCATGTTTGGATAACCCTCTTAATTTTAGACCTCTAAACTTTAGAGCTAAAGTCTTCAAACAGGTGGTTTATAATTAGCTCTAAACTTTAGCCCACCTCACATTAGCTCAAAATTTATTATAAAGTGCTCTAAAGTTTTTAGAGCTTTAAAGTTTAGAGAAAGAGTTCCAAACAAGGCCTAATTGCTTGGCTCTATAATATTATGTAAAGATAGAGCAGAGATAGATATTAAAACTCGGAGCAACTCCAAAAAAAACTCTTTATATCATTTCTAATTTATAGAAATCGAGATTTTAATAAAAAATATCCTCCTACAACCTCTTTAAATGGATCTCTAAATATAAACATCGTCTGTTTCGGATTTCTCGCTGGCTAAAGATGAAAAAACGAGAATGACTCTTTAGGGTGTGCACAAGATATAAAAAAACTATTAAAAGTTACCAAGATATAGAAAATGATTTTTACTCAAATATTTTTTTTCAAATTGATAATTTAGAGAGTAAATTTTAGAAAAAAGACCGTTGGAGATGCTCTCAATGAATCCCGGAAGCAGTGAGCCCCAATCGGGAGTCGATACACACTTTCAGCTGAGTACGACCGCGATGGATTCTGGGCTGGAGGTTGGCGATACCCTCAC